GCCGCCATGCGAGCAGCGCTGCTGGCGCTCTGCGCCCTGCAGCTGTGCCCAGCTGCGCTCGCCGGGCCCGGCCGCCCGCCGCTCGTCGTGGAGCGCAGCGGCGCCAGGAAACTGAGGACGGTAGGAGGTTCCCCCTGTTTCTGTGCACGCGGGGGATGCCCGGGGGGCTCGGCGGGCACTGGGGTGACGGCAGCGTCTTGCTGGCACCGGGGCGGGAGGTGCCTCTGGAGATGAGTCTTGCCCCAGAATCCCCATAGAGGGATTTCGGCTCGGGTGGAGCGTTTTGCACGGGATGCCCGGCTGGTTTCATGGAGCTCAGCTGAGCCTCCTGTGCTGCACCTCAGCACGGCTGATTTTATTCCTGCACTCGGTGTTTTCCAGCTCAGCAGCTCACACCCCCGCCTTGCTCCCACGTGCAGTGTTGGCTCAGGTGAATCAATGTGCTCCTGTTTGGGGACGCATGGAAAGCAGCCTGGCCGCTTTGGGAACATGGGAGCTCTGGTGGACTTTGGCTAGCTTGGAGCGTCCCTTTGCTCCCAAGCAAGCTGGTGTTGCAGGGACGGGGAGGTGGAGGGCAGTACGTGCTGCAGTGCATGGACTGTGGCTCCGGCCAGGCTCCCCTGCCCTTGCAAAACACGGGGCCTGGGCAAGCCCCTGGGCAGGAGCCGGCACCCTGGCATGTCCTCGCCCGCCGGGTTTTGGGGGTGCACCAGGGAATAGAGCCCTGGCTGGCCCGGCCCCTGCCCCGGGCTGCGGCTCCTGGCTCCAAGCTGGGGCAGGCAGGGAGAGCCCTGGCATGGTGCTCCGGACAGACCTGCTCAGGTGGGCACCCCCCAGCTTCCCCTGGGCTCATCCCGGCTCCCCGCAGGGAAATACCTGCAATTAGGCTGGTGCCTGGCTGGGGAGGCGCAGGAGCTCTCGCTGTGAGACGTGCCAAGTTGATGTGGGTTCAGGGGTGGCCGTCTTGGTGCTCGGCGCCGCATTTCAGTTCTCCTTTAGGTTCTTTAAATATAATTTCTGCTTTAGCTGCTTCCACCTGGCCACGAGGTTTGTGAAACAGAGGCTTCCCCAGGGCCAGGCACTGACAGCCCTGGGCTATTTCCCAACCCTGGAAGAGCTCCCATGGGAGCACCTCAGCTGAGCGGTGCCACTTGGCAGGACACCAGCAATGCCCACAAGTGCATGGGTCTTCATTCTCCCACAGGGCAAGGGTGTTTTCCAGGCTCATCCAGACAGTCATTAGGCTGGTGGAGCCGCAGAGCTCGGAGGTGTCTGGGCAGCGGCGGTCCCGACCGCTCGAGTGAGTCAGGCTGGCTCGGCGGGCACCATGGAAATGTTGAGCAGGGTTTGAAGTGCAAAGCACGAGCGCGGCTCCCGCTCCCGCACACGGTCACGCGGCAGGAGCTGGCAGACCACAGCACCGAGTGAACAGGCCGGGCTGGTTATTTCTGCCTGCAGCGAGCTCTTCACTTTAGGCTGGTTCCAGCTCAATGCAGAAGCTGTGTCAGGGGGAAAACCTCTCCGGGGACCCCCATGTGCGTGGCCACTGTGGTCCCTGTGCTGTGTCCCCACACACTTGCACCTCTGGGTAGACTTCGTGCTTCATTCAAGCTGGCAGGAAAATTCATTTTTACCCCACATGCATACAGAGTGTATGGCCTAACAGATGGCTTGGAGATTGCAACAAGGGAACACAGTAAAAAGGATAGAAAGGAGTTTTATTACCAATATTTTTCTGGAGAAAAGTTTCTGAAGTGCCTTTAGGCTTGGTGAATTGGAGGTTTATGGGCAGACGAAGCAGCTCTCCGGCTGAGGCTCCTTCGGGCTGTGTCTGCGAGCAGCCCTGCGTGGCACCGGGTTTCTGCAGCCGTGAGCACCGACTGAGGTCCATCCCGGTCACAGCACTTGGGGACACAGGGCCACAGCCCCAGGGCCACCTCTCTGAGTCCCATCCATTGATGCCGCAGGTCGGAGGCTTTTCCTGGGAGAACTGCGGTGATGGGAAGGATCCCGTGGTGCTCCAGAGCCTCTCGGTGGCGCCGGACCCCATCACCATCCCGGGGAACCTGCGGATCAGCGCTGCCGTGACCGGCACCAAGGCGCTGGCCTCCCCGCTGAAGGTACGTGCTGGGGACCCTTGGGGACGCAGCGCTGCGTGGGGCACGGGGAGGAGCACCCAGAGGGAACCCCGTGCATGGAGCCTGGCTGGATTGTGGCGGGTTCCTGAGCCCGGCTCCCAGGGTGCATCCAGCCCCGCTCCGTGTGCGCAGCTCCGATGCGACGCAACACGTCCCGCTGCAGCGCGCCGGGGCCCGGGGCCAAGCCGCGCCGGGACACTTGAGCAACGCGGGCTGGGGCCGTGGGGAGTGTCCCGGCGGGAACGTGGCCAGGCGGGGAGACGCCGGCACAGGCTGGTGACAGGAAGGGCGATACCGGAGCGGGGCCAGCTCGGCCGCGTGAGGAAACGTCTCTCGGCTGGGAGATTGGGAAGGGGCCTGTGGGACAGGGAGGAGAGCGCACGGGCAGCATGGAGGAGATACAAGTGTAAGGCCAGTGATCCTACCAAGGCTGGAGGATGGGAAGAGAAACCTGTGGGAGAGAGGAACCAAAGGAGGGAAGGGGAAGGAGGCAGCCGGTATGCGGAGGCAGGTGATGGTCCCAGAAATGCTGGGTTGCAGCTGGAGCACAGCTTCCCCCTTGGATCACAAGGCGAGGGGTTGGGATCCTGCCCGCTCCCATCCCCGTGCTCCACAGTGTGCTGAGGTGGATGGCATCTTGCTGGGGGTCAGGACAGGGTGGTTGGTTGCAACCAGCACGTTCAGCTGGGCACCATGGTGGGACTGGCGATGGGAGCTGGTGCTCTTGCTCGGTGCTGTGTGGAGTCTGGAGGAAACCACATAATTTTTGAGAACAGGGAGGGGAAGTTTAACTTCCACTGAGCCATGCAGCCCTGGGGGAGGTCTCCCATGGTGCTTCGTGCTGCATTTTCTCCTGCTGAGAACCGGCCTGTCACCTTGCAAACGGGCTGCTTCCAAGCCCGGGGTGCTGGTACCAACCTGCCCTCACCAACCCCCACAGTCCCCCACCACCGGCCCCACCATCTGCAGCCCCAAAACGCAGGGCAGGCGGTGGAGCAGGCCAGGGGGGCCTGGCTGGGGTGTGGCAGAGGCGCCTTGGGCACCGCTGCCCAAGCCCTTCCCTTGCAGGCGGTCGTGGTGGCGGAGAAGGCGCTGGGCGAGCTCTGGATCCAGCTGCCCTGCATCGACCAGATGGGCAGCTGCACCTACGACGACGTCTGCGCCATCCTGGACGACCTCATCCCTCCGGGGACACCCTGCCCGGAGCCGCTCCTCACCTACGGCATCCCCTGCCACTGCCCCTTCAAAGCGGTACGTCCTCCCGGCGGGCGCTCGCTCCACAGCCGCCGTCCCGCCTGCAGCGCCAGGCACCCGAACGCCCTTCGGTGCCGGTGTTTCGGCAGCGGGGATGGAGGGGGCGGCAGCGGGTTTTGGCCCACGTCATCACTGACACCTCGCCCTGCGGCTGCCCTCTCTCCACAGGGCTCCTACTCGCTGCCACCCAGTGACTTCCCGCTGCCCGACATCGAGCTGCCCTCCTGGATGACCAACGGCAACTACCGCGTGCGCGTGGCCGTGAGCAGCAAGGGCCAGGAGCTGGCGTGCGTCAAGCTGGCCTTCTCACTGCAGGCGCAGTGAGCGCCGGGGGCTCTGCGCCGCCCCGTCCCCCGCTGCCGCCCACCCTTGCTCTGTTCTCCCCGCCACTGTTTCTGCTTGGCCCCCACCGAGCCCTCCTCCTGCTCCCAAAACAAGGGGCCGATGTTGAGGAGAGAGGAGAGGCTTTTGGCGGGCTGCCGAGGTGCCAGTCCTGGGATGTTTCCCTAATTCCTCCTGCTTTAAGTCCCTCTTTGACCTGGTGAATAGAGAACCCCTCCTGCCATCCCACTGTACCCCAAATCCCATCACCAGCATCCCCTGCCTGGGACAGAGGTACCTTCAAGCACACCCCTGCCTTCCCCAGGGGCCTGGGGCAGTTATTTTTTACCACTTTTCAATTATTCTTTCTTAATCCTGTCAGGGGACTTTTAGATGAAAGCATTCCAGGGAAAAGCAATACCTATTTCTTGACATAAGAAGGAGGGAGCCTTTGGCAGAGGTCTCATGTGCCCAGCCCAGGCAGGCTGGAGGGCACAGCACGAGCTCCGAGGGCGCCCCACGCTCGCCCCATCTCCTACACGGCATGGCAGAGCCCACGGGAGCGCCGTCCCCGCTACGGCAGCTCTGGGCCATCGTTCAGCAAGTCAAGTCACCCACCATGCACCCATGGGGCTGGCTCTGGGGACGCCCCTGCTGAGAACAGCCACTGACGGTGAGGATGGGTCCATCCATGGAAAGAACCACGAGGGAGAAAGAGCTGAAGCCCCATGAGCCCCAGGTGACCGTCCACAGGGGCCAAATGACTGGTGCTGCCCTCCACGGCAAGGATATGAGGGGCAGCTGGGACAAGTCTCCCCACGGATGCCGCCGCCTCATCTTGTCAAACCCTAACTCCAGCGAGGGTGAACGTTTCGACCATGGTCTTTAAGGAGCTGTTTCGCGAAGGCCCTGGGAAACGGGCTGAAATGAGTTTTTACGACTGGTGGGGGTTGGGGGGCTGCAAAACAGAGCTCGAGCTGTCCACCTCTGCTCCGCAGGCACAGGGGGGTCGTTCTGGGCAGTTGGTTTCTTACATCCCTTCACCTGGTGTGTGAAACGCCTCTTGCCCCAGCTGCTTGGCCAGGAAGGCCACCCCCAACCCTTGTGTGACGGGGTGGTGCCCACACTGCTGCAGGAGCCGGCAGGGGGGCGCGGGTGCCGATAATCCCCAGCTTCCAGTTGGATCATCCCGAGCCTCCAGCTGCCCCTTGCCCGGCTACGCGGGGCTTCCCGCGTGAGCAGGAGCACCGCGCGCCGCAGAGCACGGCGAACAAGAGCGCGGGATGCAGCAGCGACCGCCGCGGCAGCTGTCGGCGAAGAACGGGCATCGGTGCCAGCCGTGCACGGGGCGGGATTCCCTCCCGGGCCGGTCCCAGCATCTCCCTGCTGAGCATCCCATCCCATCCCATCCCATCCCATCCCATCCCATCCCATCCCATCCCATCCCATCCCATCCCATCCCATCCCATCCCATCCCATCCCATCCTGCCGCCTCCCCTCGTTCAGCATCGCTGCAGAGCCCATCTTCCCCCCAGCACTTCCGAGGCCTTCAGTGCAGCACGGCAGCCCCGTGGGCGGGTGCGGGCCGAGCCCCGAGCCCCGAGCCCGGCCCGCCGCCTTCGCGCCGGCTCCGCTCTGCCCCAGGAGCGCTCCCCGCCTCGGTGCTCGGCGGCACCTCCCCGCGCTCTGCCTGCGGGTCCGCAATAAATCTCTGTGCCTGGGAGCGGAGTTGCTGCTCTTGGCGCCCGCGGTGAACGGGACCGGG